TATATTCCCTTCCCCGAACACCACCGCAACGCCTGGTAATGAAATTCCATGTCGTAAGTCCAGCCAATGCATTCTAGCTTTTAAAATCTCTCCTTCATTCTGCTAGCAACAGTTCTTAAATTGCCGTAAACCTTTCCAGGTGGGCTACCCAAAATCAGACTAACAATGGCCTCTCTCGCAATGTGGATATTCTTGAAGCCTCCCAGAATGTGGATTTTGCTATCTGCAAGAACCACTCTTGTGCGACTCGCATTCTCAATTGCAAATTTGGTCTTTCCATCCTTGCCTGCGATACGGCCGATGGCTCTTCCCAAATGCTCACCTTGCAGTGTCTTTACATCCTTAATCTCAAAAGTCTGAATGTAAAGGTCGTCAAGTCGTAATAATGCGATAGCATCATCAACATCGAAACCTAACGAAAAGGCCTTGACGAAATCTTCGCCCTTTTGTAAAGATCCAGTATCGGTAGTATGTTTGGAGGTACGGAGTTCAACGGCTTTGTTTTTGATGTTCATGCGAACTTGGAGTTTAAGATGCTCGACGAGAGGAGGGTAGATCTTAGGCCAGGCGGCTTTGAGAGGTGTCATTCGGTGTGGAGGAATGGGAACTTTTCGAGTTTCGACTCGGGTTGCTGGGTCCTGTTGTTTTTGTTAGAATCGCATGCGCTTTTTGACAGTAGCATAGTTTGAGAGCCGTACAATATTCTTGGCTGGTGCAAATCGAGGTCGTCCTTCTTCATCAATGTGCATCTCGCTATTGTCGGTGGCTGGAGGCAGAATAGTATCCAAATCTGCAGAAGTAACTTCTGGTGCATCTAATAAAAATTCATCATCTTGATCTGGGACGACATTAGCTACTGTTCCCGCAATGCGCATAGTGGCAGCGTCATAAGATTAATTACTTTGATCGGGTGCTGGCACATTGGTAGCTTCAGCAAGCTCTTCCGGTCTCCTCAACAAAGCTGTTGGTGCAGGCATTGTCTGTTGTCGGATTGCGTATGGTGAAGTTGAACGATATCTTCGCGAAAATATTCGTTATGTAGTTGGAATACGAGTCTTTCTTTTTTGAATGTCGATTTTGATGTTCGTAGTCAGTCGATCAAATTGGAAAAAATATTTAGTGGGGGGTATGGATGCGATAGAGAATTTACTGATAAGATCACTAGCGTCTTCATTAGTGCCAAAAATTCCAAAAGGCGCATCCGGAAAAGCCCATCGTCATTCATTTTCTCGCGTGCCTTCATTTTTCAATTCCTGTTCCAAGATACGAGTGTTGAGGAAGGATTCTACGACTTCAACAGTCTTGTTTCAATCTTTCAGGATGAGCTGGAGGTTATGTCGACAAACATAAAACCTAGGTTATGGTCCCAATTATGGGATCAAGCAAGTTCACTCGCTGCAACAAAGACATGCAAAGAATCTATACGACCTTTCATATCTAATTCGGTTCTACTAAATACTACTCGTCGCGCATTTTCGCAATCAAAAATCAGGTCCTTCTACAGCTCTTCTCCCAAGACTCAAGTCCGAAGGAGTTTTGCCTATGGCGGGGTCTTCTTCCTCGATTTGAGCTCAGGTACATCCGCAACGCCCTCGATAGCATCATGTACAACCACAGTGGAGAAGACTCTGTATTCAGCATCATCTTCGCCAAGACGACCTTTGACAACATTTCTTCAGCAAGAATGGCGACGTGAGATCCATTCAAGTAGTCGGCGAAGGGCGAGAGGATATGCAAGAAGAAATAAAAGCTCTGCATCAAATTTACAAAATACTCGAAAGACACCCCAAGAGACCCACAACCCCTCACAGATTACCCCGCCAGTAAAGGAATCGGTCACAGATGCTAATATCCCACACTCTACCTCGAGCAAGTACCATCTTCCTCACATGCCAAAGATGCCCCATCGGCCGACGAGAGAGGAACTACTCGCTGCAGCAACGGGATTTTGGTCTCGATTGAAGGTCCGATTCAAGTGGTTTACGATTAGAGGCGGGCGACCATGGAATGTTGACGATTGGAGTGCTTTTGTCTCATGGTTTGTCTTAGGAAATATCGCCTGGATTTTTATCGGAACCACAACTTTCTTTTCTCTTGTTATCCTATCTATCAACACTGTTGTCGCTCAAGGTAAGAGCCATTAAAAAATATGAGGATTCTACAATGACTGACTCTAGATTAGAAACATTGGCAAGATGGGTGGGTGATTACCTTACACATTCGGCAGGCATCAAGGTCGTTTTCGAATCTGCCATCGTGCCGCGATGGAAAGATGGAGTAATTACGTTCCGGAATGTGTTTGTCTCAAGGAGACCAGGACAAGGGAAGACCAAGTTTAGCAAGGGTTCATCTCTGAGTGCTGCGGCTGCGGCTGCATCTCAACGGCAGGTGGATACAGAGGGAAAGAAGGAGGAAGAGGAGGATACAAACTACACCCAATTTGACGTCACTCTCGATACAGTCAATGTCACTTTATCATTTGTCAAATGGTGGAATGGCAAAGGACTTCTTCGGGACGTAGAAATTAAGGGTGTCCGAGGAGTAATAGATAGAACTTCAGTTCATTGGGGCGACGAATACATCGACCCTAAATCGTTTCGACATGAGCATAACCCCGGCGATTTCGAGATAGACTCTTTCAAACTGGAGGATCTCTTGGTTACCGTGCATCAACCCAATGGCTTCCGACCCTTCTCTGTCAGCATCTTCTCATGCGATTTGCCCCAGTTGCGGAAACAATGGCTATTCTATGATTTCCTTTCGGCGAGCAACATGTCTGGTGCCTTTGACGGATCTCTTTTCACAATTCATCCTCGACAGATCCACGGGTTTGCTGGCTCGCACGCTCTTGACTCTTCTGGAAATGAGGGGTCAAGCCTTTGGAAAAAGCAAAGTCGTCTCCGCATAGATGGCCTCAAAATTGACCATTTAAATCGAGGAGTGGAAGGGCCGTTTGGCTGGATTCATGAAGGAAATGTTGACATTGTTTCTGATGTCATGCTTCCAACTGAAGCGGATGACAGTATCGCCAAGGTTATGTCCGACTTTTACGACCGCATGGAAGAAGCTGTAACATCCAATCGTTATTTCCACATCCTCGAAAACAACTCACGGAGAGAAGAACCAGACACGCTTGCTGAGCCTGATGCTTCGGCGGAGAAACTCTCTCACGATGATAATAAACGCTACATCGTCATGGATCTTCGCATTCATCTTAATGACGTGAAAGCAGCCGTGCCACTCTTCACTCGCGACTTATCCTACGTTAATCAGGCCCTGATTCGACCCATCGTCGCCTATATCAACGCGAAGAAAACATTTATACCTATAAATTGTCGAATCGTGAAACGAGCTAGTGATTTTGATGGTAGCTGGACCATCTTCGATAGCGGATTAATGGATGATATGTCTGCAGAAACTTATGAAGCATTTGCGAAAGATGTGGTCGACAGTCAGGCCCGCCTGCGTCGGTTGAAAAAGGTGGGATTTTGGTCAATTTCTATGGCAATCCAGGCAATATTTATGGGCATGGCTGGAAACGTTGCTTGAATTGTCAATTGATTAAACACATGAACGGGCTTGTTCAAGGCCTGCATGTAAGGTCATGAGACTCTCCTCTTACCATGAGGTATAATGACATTCTTGTATAAAATGATGTGGCAATGGATGGGCAGTGCATAGCTTGGTTTTGGTTTTATGGTTGAATTGGCATGGCGTTTAGATATCCCCCTCAAAAAAACGGACTAGCAGGTGGGAGAACAGGAGTTTGGATTTGATGCATGCTCGTACACGTCTACACGCGCATCTCTATAGAATACTGAGATGCAAATGGAATCAGATACACTTCCTAAAGTCAGTCATTACTCCTACCTTCATTCAACGTGATGATAGTTTCGAACGTCCAGTTTTAAAAGGCCGGCTCGTTTACCACATAAGCATCGTACATAATCCTACCCACCAGCAACGCCTAGATAGCAAACTATCTCGAAGTGAGTAGAAAGTATGAAGCCTAGAGCTAGGCAGTAAACGTTGAGAGTTTAAATGCACGCCCTTTTCGTTACTTTTTTCTTAAACTCCGTAGCTTTGCCTTTCATCTTGTACTGTTACCGGTAGCAACTGGTCAGGGAGGTTCAGAAGTCAGCAGTTGACTTCGCCTATTCGTACGGGAAGCCGAATTCGATTATTCCAATCTTTACTAGAATCTTCTAGCTGATTGAATGTAAACCAACTACAGATAAAACATATGTGGAGGAAATAATAGAATGATTGGATGTATCATGAAGTGGTCGAACCCAGCCGTTGTTTTCTCTCCTACGAATAGCTCCTGTATGTAAGCGAAGAGGAGAATTGGCGGGCACCGAATAATACTTAGACGACGATGATACAAAGTCGTTTGCAGATTGGTGATTGCTAAGCATTGACTTTAAAGAGCTATGCTCCTAAATATTTTAGTTAAGATGTGAATCACGATTGATGCAATCTCTCATGCCAAGTATCCAATAACATTCGTCTTAAATATGACGCGATTTAGACCCCCTATCGCAGCATGAACCACAAAAAACACATAGCAGGGTTTAAATCCAAAACAGTCAGTAATATTTCCCCGCGTTCTTATCTAGTTACATACTCTCTGTATCATATCGTTTTGGCATCACGGTGCATTTCGATTCACGCATGTAGACATCCGATATGCTTACATTGCACTCCAGCTTGGGTTTGAAATCACACAACCGACGTACGATTGCTATATCTCGTCATGCATCGTCTGTATTTCGCCATACTTGCCGTTCTTCCCGACGGTAGAGAACTGTATTATCAGTATATCAAGTCAAAATTGAAAGGACCTTCGCATATCCAAAATACGACTACATAGACTGAAGAAACCCCTTCTGTAAAAGCATCATGATTTCTAGCTCTCTTTGTTTGAGAACCTCGACATTAATTCTTCATCCTGTTCATCCAGATCCAAAGAACGATACAAAATCTTCAAACGATATATCATGGCTCCCGCTGCAACAGAAGCCCAATCAGCTCCAGTCGTTAGCCTTAACAAAGGCAACGACAACATCAAGACAGAGTCCACCAGTCAAGAAAAATGGGTGAAAAGCACTGGCGTTCTAGATCAATTTGAGTCCTTTGATGTTACTCCTGTTATCGGCCGCGAGTTTCCAGATGTCAATTTGGTAGAATGGCTTCAAGCTCCCAATGCCGATGAACTCTTACGCGAGCTTGCTCTTACTAGTAAGTCCCAATGAAACATAACGTTCTGGTAAGTCTATGGATGCTAATAATGACTTAGTATCCCAACGTGGCGTGGTATTCTTCCGCAAACAAGATAGTCTCACTGCCGATTTGCAAAAGGAACTTGTGCAACGCATTGGTCTCCTTTCAGGAAAGCCATCCACTTCAGGTCTTCACATCCATCCGCTTCTCAATCCAGAGAGAGAAGGATACCGCGTGACAGACCCAGAGATTAGTACCATTGACTCGGTGCTCAACAAGAAACTTTACAGCAACACAAAATTGGACCGAGCAAACGGTCTCCAAAATACTTCCAAATGGCATGCAGATATTTCTTTCGAGCCAAAGCCTGCCGATTATTCTAGTTTGAAATTAGAGGTACTCCCAAAGACGGGAGGCGACACATTGTGGGCAAGTGGATATGAAATCTATGATCGAATTTCAAAACCCTACCAAAAGTTCCTCGAGAGTCTGACTGTAACATTCCAACAACCCGGCTTCATTGAAGCTGCTGAAAAGGGTGGATTCGAATTGTACGATAAGCCAAGAGGAGCCCCAGAAAATGTGGGAAAGGAATTGAAAGCCGTGCATCCAGTAGTGAGAACTAACCCAGTCACTGGATGGAAATCTGTTTTCCCAGTCGGAGGTCATGTTAGTCATATCAATGATGTTACTCGATTGGAGAGCGAAGCACTTTTGGGTTGGTTTAAGCGATTGTTGGTGGACAATCATGATTTGCAGGTGCGATTTAAGTGGAAGAACCAGAATGACCTTGGTAAGTTTTTTTTGCAGTATCCCATAGCTCGTCTGTACTAATTTTGATAAATATAGCTATCTGGGACAACCGCTCAACTTTCCACACGGCCACAGACGATCTCGAAGGACAGGGTGAAAGATATGGTGTAAGAGCTGTTAGCGTTGGAGAAAAGCCATTTTTCGACCCCGAGAGCGAGTCTAGAAGAGATGCCCTAGGCATTTGATGTAAATAGCTGCACGATAGTAAAATGAATAACATGAACAAAATGATCGATATAAACCCTTGTAATCTGTCATTCGACAAATACTACCCGCTTGTGCTTGTGTCTAGGTAGATATCGTCATGAATGTAGTTATGAACACGGGTGAATGAGTCACTTGCCGTCTGCTCGCGAACATCTATAGCGACATATAAAGATAGAACTTATGGCTCATAAAAATCTTTATTCATGAATGTCACAAAAAGCAATATAGCTCATTCAGATTGTACTTCTTTTGCATTCGAGGGTGTTCATCTTGGGGACAGGAAGTGGTCGCGGATGTGGACATTGACCATAAAGTTCTCATTCACGTGATCAAGGTTAAGGCATTTCTCCACCACGGCTATCAGAACTTCACTCCAACAACGGATTTTCAATTGACATACATACAGATCACAATGCGAAGACGGTGAGATTGTCGAATGAGGACAGCAAAAGCCAAGCTATTGGCAGCATGTTATCTACACATCCCACAAATCACGGGAGAGATTTCACCCATTCATGTAATTGTGTTTTTAATATTTTTTTCCGAAAATTGAATCGATTGCGAAACAATTACGAAAGTCCGGGGACAGATGACAACATATGTTCTTACAGGCATTGCATGCCATATGCACACCCAACCAATCTCCCATTACCTCAATTCTCCAACTTTGTAGCTTCCCATGCAGATGGGACATCATATGTGCCCTCAGTACTGATAAGAGTTTCGTGCTTGTGGCCAATGCTTGTGTCGTGAGCTACTTTCGTCGATAAAAGGGTAAACTATTGGGACGGGCTTTTATGGCGACAAGTGCGCTAGAGATTCTCTCATCGAATATTGACTATGAAGTCTCTCTCTCAAGGGCTTCTATGACTACTTTGGAGCATGCCCCGGAATATACTCTTATGGTGGCGCCCGAGAATTTCATGCTGTTTACGCAGTATGCGTTTGACAGTGAAAAGATTCAATGTATTAGCATAATTTATGCGCCATCAAAAAGCACGTCATGGGCTTATCTGCCATCAAGACATGAAAACTTTGTTAGTTTTAACTATTTTCGTTTCTCGGGGAAATTATCACGAGGGAATGGTAGGTCTCGATCCGAGATTATGGATAATGTCGCTGCATTGTCTTTGCCACAAAGGTTTGTTACTCCGAGATACCTCTATTGTGTGATTTCCAGTGGATCTTTCTCAATAAGTGTCTGCCCTCGGTAGTCCCGCACACCTGCAGTGTCTCTTGGCCTTTCGCACCAATCACAATATAGCTGATATTGTAGCATGAGCATATCTTAAAACCATCGCGTGGTATAAGTATCTAGTTTTCTACATCCCAATACCGATCAAGTGAGAGATCAAAGTCGCATATATTCGAAGATGTCTAAAGATGCCACAGACAAGACGAAGCCTAAGAGTGGTGCCGCGCGACAACCAGATGACTCGCTTCAGTACGAGGAAGTAACAACTTTTGGCGACCCAATTCCTGTAAAAAATGCGACTTTTGTTTCTACGGGCTCCGACTCAGATGAAGATGGATCCGTATTTGCCAAAAATCCTTTTTTAGACCCCGATGTGAGGGAACACTGGACTGGGGTTTACGAAAAATCGCAATACGAATGCCGGCATGCCTTTGACCCCAATTTCACTTGGACAGAGGAAGAAGAACGACGACTGGTTCGAAGGCTAGATTGGCGAGTTTGTCTCTGGGCTGTAAGGTTGAGATTCCGGAATGTTTTAGATCATTGTTAACAACATTCCAGTGCATAATGTTCTTCGGTTTACAAGTCGATCGTGGGAACTTAACACAAGCTGTTGCAGATAATCTGTTGGATGACCTGAACTTGAGTACAAATGGTACGTTGGTTATAACTCTCCTCTTATGTAGAAAGCGACTGGGGTTAACGATACATAGACTACAACTTCGGCAACCAGATTTTTTTGTTTTCGTTCTTGCTAGCCGAGTTACCTTCACAATTAATTTCCAAGAAGATTGGACCCGATAGATGGATTCCGATGCAGATAACCCTCTGGTCGGTAGTTGCTATGTCTCAGTGTGCGCTCAAAGGAAAGTCTGGATTCTATGCCACACGAAGTATGCTGGGTCTTCTTGAGGTAGGTTTCATTGTCAACTCCGAGCTTGAAAATTCGAAACTCACCACTTGATAGGGCGGGTTTATCCCAGACATCGTTTTGTGGCTATCATACTTTTATACATCCAAGGAACTTCCTGTCCGACTCAGTTTCTTCTGGACTACACTTTCCGCAACCACTATCATCACATCAATTCTTGCTTTTGCTCTACTTCATCTACGGGGTGTGTCGGGATGGGCAGGATGGCGTTGGCTGTTCCTAATTGAGGGCTTGATTACTTCGCTAGTTGGCCTTGCTTCTTTCTTCATGATGCCAGCGTCTGCAGTCCAAACGAAAACATGGTTTCGGCCAAAAGGCTGGTTTACTGATCGTGAGATATCCATCGTCGTCAATCGAGTTCTCCGAGATGACCCTTCAAAAGGCGATATGCACAACCGACAAGCAATTACGCCAAAGAAACTCTGGAATGCAGCCAAGGATTACGACCTTTGGCCACTTTATGCTATTGGGTTGATCGCATATATTCCTCAATCCCCACCTACTTCCTACATTACTCTCACCCTGAAGAACCTGGGTTTCAGCACATTCAACACCAACTTATTGACAATTCCTTATTCAGCCTTCCACATTATCACGCTACTTCTTATCACACAACTATCTGAACGCGTCAAAGAAAGAACTCTGGTCTCCATGATACAACCGCTATGGACCCTCCCATGTATCATTGCGCTTCGCTTTTGGCCAGGTTCAGGAGTCCAGGCTTGGAACACATACGCATTGGTCACAGTGCTTCTATCATATCCTTATTGCCACGCCATTCTCGTAGCATGGACTTCCAAAAACTCTAACAATGTTGGCACTCGCTCTGTCTCCTCTGCTCTTTACAACATGGCAGTACAACTGGGAAATATCTGCGCAAGCTTCATTTACAGAACTGATGATAAGCCGTTATATCATCGTGGTAATACGCAATTGATCATTATAAATATTGCGTCCATTGCTGTGTTCTTATTTACGAAATTTTACTATATCATGAGGAACAAGCAGAGAGATAAGGTGTGGAATGCCATGACGGCTGAGGAACAGCAGGATTACAAGAGGAATACGAAATTGACTGGGAGTTCAAGATTGGATTTTAGATTTGCGCATTAGATGGTAGGTAGATGACCTTGTTTTGTGTTACGATCATCGATAATTATAATTTGTACCTAAGATATCAACTACCTCTATGTCGAAATATGGCCATCTGAATGATTTTAGTTTACTGTTTGTTATTGTGGCATGGTTTTGTTGCAGCACTAGTGTTGATAGGAATGCTTGATTATTCTCAGTTTTCTACTTCTCATCGCTTCTCATCTCCTGGGGCACAGAACGGAGAAATATTTGATGGCGCGTACTTGAAAAAGTGGAAGAGGAGCAATCACTTCCTACTAGGATAACATCAGATGGAAAATGGTCAAATCTAGCTAAGAAGTGGGAATGAGTAATCAGATCTGGTATTGGACTGGGTAACTACTGAGATGAGAATATGATATTAGAAAACTATCATCTGAATCTATAATTCAATCTCATACACTTTTCCTATAAAAATCGCTCTGCTAGAAATGCCCCCTTCCACTCTAATTTGCATAATTTTAGACTGAAGGGGTGTTGTCTACTTGTTGGTAGGTAACTACCAGAAGCGGAAAGGGAGAGGTTTCGTGCCCACAAAATCTTGGATAAGTTAAACAGCATTCGCTTATCTGAATGTGACGAGCGAAGATAATAAGTGCGACAACATAATATATATATTCCACTATCCTACTCATCAATAATTATCAAGCAAGAATGGTATACGCAGAAAAAACAACAGAACAATCCCTCCCACAAACTTCGCTGCAAACGTGAATACGAATGCAACGCTCCATAGGTACATACAGGTCAAAAGAAAGACATTTCTGTACAAAACGAACGCTCGCTACCCACCGCGAATTATATATAAATTATAAGTCATAACTCGTCAATCATCAATCATAACCCAGCAACACTCATTAAATCCTCCACGCCATCAAAAGGATCATCATCTGCATCCTCCACAACCCCTTTCATTGCTTCTCCCGCGTTTCTTTTGTCTTCTTCGTCTGAATCGTCGTAGCCCCCTGCATCGTTGACTGCATACTGTAATTCTTCGAATCCCATTGGGATACCCTTCCATAAAGCTAGCTGTCGGGCTGTTCGGACGGCATGTCCGATTGCATGGCCGTTGAGCTTGTACTTGGCTAAAGTAGAGATGTTTGCGCGAAGCTCAGTGATGTTTATCGTGGAGGGGTTGAAAAGAGATTCCAACGATTCAAGCTGCGTGATATGAGATTCCCATATCTTAGTTCGTTGGGTCAAAGTGAGAGGGGCATAGCGGAGAGAAAGCTGAATGCGGGATTTGAGCGCCTCGTCCACGGCGTTAATGGAAGAACTCGTCAAAATGACAATCCCGTTGTACGATTCGAGTGCTCGTAGAAATACAGAAACTAATGCGTTGCGACGAAGATCTCCTAAAGTTCGTTTCTCAAGGAATAGCTCGGCTTCTTCGAGGAGTATGACGCATTTCCAAACTCTTCCTAGATAAAAGATCTGTTGGAGTGATCTTTGTAGGGCTTCTGGTGTGGTCGCCATCTCGCTACATGAGGCTATGTAGAGTGGTTTCTCAACTACTTCAGCCACACTTTCCGCTGTCATGGTTTTACCGGTTCCGGAAGAGCTGTTGATGTTTTGTTAGCGTAGATTCAAAAGATCTGGGGTATGTATCAATTACCCATGCAATAAAATGACTGAGCCAGTTCCCTTCCTGCTAACGAGGCTTGGACTTTGTTCGTCTTTGATTTGATTTGCGACTAAAGCTGTAATGAGAATCTTCA